AATTTTATAACTTGAGATTTGGTCCTTCCAGGTTGGGGAATCATTATGTCAAGTGGGAGCTAAAGCAATGCCAGAGGATGAAATCAGCATGAGAGAGAGAAAGAGGAAAGAGAACTGAGAAACATCAGAGGAGGCTCCCATTTGGGGAGTTAAAAAGAAGAAGACCTAGTGAAGAAAAGAGGAGGAGATAGTAGGAGAGCCAAGAGAAAAAGCTCTCCAACACGGTGGTTAAGAATATCGAATGCTCCAGAGAAATTAAAGAGGATGAAGACTTGGGAAAGGCCATCGGATTAAATTACATCACTGGTGATTCCCCAGAGGCCATGTGAATAGAATGATGAGCTCAGAAGCCTTGGAGACAATGGCTTTAAGGAGTGAGTGGAAAAGTTATTGAGGCCGTTTTAGCACTAAGTGTAGTGACAGTGGATAAGAACAGGGATTTCAAAGGGGTGGCTCGACCACAGCAGGGATTTTTAGATGGAAGCATGTTGCTAGCAAAAGGGACAGGCCCAGGGAACATAATTGTTAGTACATTCAGCAATGGCTGAATACCTTGGCTGGAAAGGAAAAGGTGAGAGGAATAGCCTGGAAGTGGAGAAACAGAGAAGCGGGCAAGAGATGAGGGTTAGTTGAGAAATAAAATACAGCCACCAGTTTCAGAAAGCTATAGGCCAATTTTGCTTTCCCCCCAATCTTCCTTACATCAGCCAGGAGCTGCAGGACTTTGACCCCAAAGGCTTATTTAGGTTTCCTGACCCTCATTCTCAAACTCCTCCACCCTTAACCTCTTTGAGGGTCTAAATCCCACATAGGTGGGTCACATAGGGAAGGACAGAACTGGCTCACCCTGTGCTAGATGGAGAGGCTCTGCTCCCCTTCTAAGTCCCCAGGAGGCAAGCTCCACAGCTTCCCTCCCTCAGTGAGACTGCTCAGTGTTTCCGATGTGACAGCTTGTGGAGGGTGGGGGGAGGCAGAGGGAAAGAATTGGAGAGATGGCAAATTAGAGTTTCCAGGCTTCTTGGAGAAGGTTCATTTTCCACAGTACTTTAAAAAAAAAAAAACCCTTACTCAGATTGTAAAATTTGTAATGCAAGATAGAAAAACCCTACGTAGTTCCTGCATCACCAGAGTATTGTCAGAAGATTTTAAAGATGGAAAAGATAGGAGATTAACTAATCCAACTGAATGGCTTGAAATCTTTTGCTGAGCAAAATAAAAGAAAAATAAACAAACCGTCCTTTGCATGAACACAGTCGACCTCTTTCTCTGAACAGCTGAGAAAATTGAGACACAGAGAGGCTAAGTGGTTACTCAGGGTCACAGGGCAGTTAGAGGTGGAGCCGGTGGAGCATCTCCATTTCCTGACTGTTCAAGGCTCAGACGTAAGATGCCTGTCTGGTCCACTGGCTTCCTTTCCCCACAGATCAGAAGGAGACTCATGCCTCCTCAAAAGTTTTAACTTCCAACTGTACCGTTCACCTCTCTGGGGACTCAAGCCAGATCCCGTCAGCCAGTCTGTCTGCAGCTGCCTATTGTCACCTCTGAAGGGTATGGATTTCTAATCTCCCAGAGGAGCCTCTTCTTAATACAAACACTTCGGGTTGGTGGGGCAGCAGGGGGTGGGGACGGTGGGTAAAATCAGCTCAGCAAGTGGAGAGCGATGGACAGAGATAGTTTAAACCCTGAAGGGCACATTCATTTGGATAAATAAGAATGAGGCCAGGGCAGACCAGCTTCTACCCTTCATTCCTTTTTCATCCCAACCTCCAAATATCCTTTTGATTTTACTCTGGTAGGGTGTTTTTTTTCCAAGACTTTTTTTGTTTTGTTTTTTTCTCTTTCTTTCTTATGTGTGTCCCTTCCTTTTAGATTTTATAGGTACGGGTAATATTTATGTGTCAGTGACCTCTCAAAGCAGTTTTAGAGATTGACTGTTTACATTTGGGAATTTTCTTTAAGGTCTACAAAGTTCTTTGTGCTTTTTCCAGGAAAGGCACTCAGTAAGAACCAAAACAAACAGCTGAATAAGTCAAATTCGACTGGAGCCAAATTTCTTAGGAGAGTAAGAAAAAAAAAGTTAGCATTTGTTTTTGTTGTTTCCTTTCCGCTCCTCAACCCAGTCACATATTCTTGAGCCATTCCTACTTCTAGTCTGATTCAGAATTGCTTATGAGCTGTTTAAGGCTAAACTCTAAGCCTTGTGTTGGAGAAATCTTGACACTGGGAGATTTCGCAAGGCACATTTCAGAAACGGTCCAGAAATGATGAAAACAATGTTTTGTTTCACCAAGTCTTAGGAAAAATTTATCCCCGTATATTTTACATTTGTCTCCATGACCATGGAGGATGGAGGACTATTGTTGCTCTGGCCAAATTTCACATGTCCCTGGCAGGACTGGGGCTATGTAACTCAAGCTTACAACTGTTATCCAGGCCTCTTCAGGAGGTCTGTCAGAGCCAGGTGAATCCTGTGGTTAGTGTTCAGCCCAGACTGACAAATGGAGTGTCATATTTAATTATTTGCCTGCCCCCATACCCGCTTCCCAGCATGATTTGTCCTGTGAAAAAGTTATCATGGCATGGGCAAGTTCAAGGGCTCTCCCTAGAGCTGAAAAACCTCTATTCACATTTTATCTCTTCCAATTACTAGCTCTTTGACCTTAGGCAAGTTACTTAACTGGTTTGGAGTCTCAGTTACCCTGGTTGTATGAGAGTGATAATAATACCTACCTTATATAATAGGTGTGAGGATTAAATGAGATAATGAATGTAAAAGCTCCTGGAATAGTTCCTGATAATGTGTATCATTCAGTATATATTAGTTTTCTCTATTTGTGCCACGGAGCCCTCTGAGATCTTTATTTGAAGGACAACATAAATCCAAAACACCGTGCCTGTTGGACATATCATGTGTTGCAAAATAAACCTCCACTTAGAATGGAAGTGAATTGCAGATTGAGGCTGACGTACAACACAGGAAATTTTTCCGAATGGAAATGATTCTTCCTATAATTCCTGCCACAGCAACGAGGAGCCCACCTCCCCAGGATGGTGGCTGCTGCACAGTGACTACTAGAACCAAAGCGATCTGGCCCTCTCTCCCACCCAGAGCTCTAGCATTTGTAAGGCTTCTCAGAACTTAATAACAGAAATGACGGAGAAAGATTCTCACAGAACAAAGACTATTGCACTAGAAGTTTGAAGTCATGGGATATGTAAACGGTTAACTAGGTGTGACTACATGAAAGTGCAACAATGTTAACCCTTCTATTTTCTCCTATTACATTTATAAGGATTAACCGTGCTATTATGTAACACGCTGTAATGTATGTAAGTTGGCTAGCTAGCAGCTAGGATATCACGAGTTAAACCTCCACCGCCACCCATTCCCCAAGCCACCGAGTGAACTCAGTGGTTAAGAATCCACCTGCCAATGCAGGGGACACGGGTTCGAGCCCTGGTCCAGGAAGTTCCCATATGCCGCGGAGTAACGAAGCCCATGCATCACAACTACTGAGCCCACGTGCCACAACTACTGAGCCTGTGCTCTAGAGCCTGTGAGCCACAACTACTGAAGCCCGTGTGCCTAGAGCCCATGCTCCGCAACAAGAGAAGCCACCGCAATGAGAAGCCCGCGCACCGCAACGAAGAGTAGCCCCTGCTCGCCACAATTAGAGAAAGCCCGCGCGCAGCAACGAAGACCCAACACAGCCAAAAATAAATAAATAAAATAAATTAATTTAAAGAAAAGAGAGAGAGAGAACAGTGGTTTTGCTTGGAACAGAATACTTAAAAAATGAGTTCTTTTAGCATTTAAGAAACCCCAAAACCTTACCAACAAGACTTTGCAATAGAAAAATATTTTAAGACTTTTTAAATTAAAAAAAAAATTCAACAGCAAAGCAAAATAAAATCAAATGAGGACTATGTGTCAGGCCCAATTATGCTACCTTTTTCATTGGGTAAAATGATTGATTTGAGTGTGAAGGCAATTTTTTTCCCTAAAATTGTATAAAAAGTGATGCATCTCCTCTTTATGAGGGTCAAAAGAATAATATGGTCACTAACCCACAGAGAAGATAAATATTTGTTGAATGAATGTTCCTATGGAGTTGGAACACAATGAAAAGGCAGGCTTCTGTGGATGCAAGAATCCTAAGTTATTTAAATGAAATCTCTTTCCCGAGAGGCCTGGGATTGGGGTGCTGGCTTTCCGGAGAGAAAGCCTCTGTTGTATTTCAGCCTCAAGATGTGGTGTGTGCTCCATTTAAGGAAAGGGCCAGTGACCCTGGGTTCCTTGCCAGGACCCTGAGCAGCCCAAATGTTGAAAGATGTTGAGGAAAAACTAAAAGGAAGTAGAGGATTGATTTAGCAAAGAGAGATGGCTAAGGTGGGCTATTATAAAACAGCATTCAAAGATTGTGGGAAAGACAACACTTCTCTTAAAATATGTTTAAACCAAAGAGAAAGGGATTTAGGTTAGGCATGAAAAGGATTTTTTAAACTGTCGTAAAAAACACATAAAATTGACCATTTTAAGTGTACAGTACAGTAGTATTAATCCCTGCGCATTGTTGTGCAAGCAAAAGGATTTTTTGAAAGTGAAGTTAGTAAACAATGTCTGATTTCTCTCTCTCTGTTCATCTCTTTCAGTTTGATTGGAAGAGAATGGAATTTCCTTCTTTAAAATGTGGAAAAATAGTCCACATTCTGAGTCCCCAGGGGCTGGAAGAGATGATCTCATAAGAATTCCTTCCAGCCCAAACTCTACGTAAGGTAAGTGCTAGGACGGGCCCAGCACCGGATTGGTCACACTGATGAAAGTATCCTCAAGCTGCCTTGGACAAAGTTAGAAATGCATGGCTATGCTGAAAATGAACTCGAGCACTGATCAAATTTCTGATTCGATATCGTTTGATTTCTAAGCTTGGGTGGGTTATAAATGTTGCTTTAACTTCAAGTCTACAGAATAAGCGCGGCTCGGGACTGCTAAGTCTTACCTTGGGTTTATACGCATTCAACATGGACATCTCCACGTTTTGACCTCTGACGTGTTTTGGCTGCCTCTGGACGGGCGGCGACGATGACTTCTGGTTATTGCGACAGACACAGATGAAGAAGAAGAGCAAAGCAATGGCCAGGGGGATGGCAACGCTAGGCACCAGTATGTACAGGATTTCCATTTTATTCTTTTCCTTGGAATCCTTCGAATCTGGGTGTAGAAAACGGAAAAGAGCAAAAGTCATACTAGTTCAAATGACATGGAATAATATTACACGGCAGAGCTTAAAATGTCCTCCTATTCTTCTATACACACAAATCTACTGTGAGAAGAAAGAACCCTTGCTTATTACAGTTTGTTTCCATCAAACCTTCAGTGTAGTTTATCAAAGCTGAAAAGTTGAAAGTTCAAACGTTTAAAAATTGCAGAGGGACATTGTGAAGGCTTCGCGTGTGTGGGGGTCCCCCTTCTGATGTTGCCTCTCTTCAGCAGCAGGCCTGCATTTCTCCGACACCTTAAAAGTTAAACGCCACACGGATGGACTGTATACATCTAAGAGCATCAATGTGGACCCCAGGGGTCTTCCTCCATTGGCTGCCAGCCCAAATCAAACACCGCAACGTGGTGTTCCAGAAATCATGCCCTTGTCTTGGCTGGCCTGGACATATAGGGCCAGTCCTGCATCTTCCAGAAGCAATATCACCAAAGAATCCTGGCCCAGGGTCCACAAAGCCACTGGCCTGAGAATATGGGGACCTGAAGCCAGGGCCAGCTCAGTCTCTGATGAGCTGTATGACTTTGAACAAATCATTCACCTCTTTGTGTCTCAGTTTTTCTCATCCACAGAAGTGAAGTGTCTGTTTTGGATGGTGTCTACAATTCCCTCTTGCACAGCATCACTGTATAACTTGACACTTTTCTGAAACCCAAGAATTCTTCTTAAATGGTTTCATATGAACTCAGTAATTATGAGTGCTAACCCTCTGAAGTATATTTTTGAAATCTTATACATCCACTGTTACCATTGCTTGGCAAAGAATATAACATGTATAGAAGGACACAAGGACACATACTTTTCTCTTTTTGGCTTGAGTCTGACCATTAAACTAAATACCCTGGGCATAGACTAAAATTAATGAATTATTTGACTGGTAAAACAATGCAAGCATTATGGGACAGTAATTAGAGGGGATGCATAATGACATGTCCTGATCACCAGTAGCCACATCAGCTATCTAGCTTTAAGAAAATCCAAAGTGTGAAAATTCAGACTGACACAAAATTCAGAGATGATTATTTACTTAAAAGAATTAACCATGCATCCATTCCCTCATCCCCCCATTTGTTTCAGTCAGTCAATAAACAAACAGCTACTACTGCCAAGCACTCCACTAGGTACTGGGAATATAAAATGAAATAAGACATGTCCTTTGCCCTTAAGGACCTCGTGATCTGCTAAGGAAAACAGAGAAAAGATAATTACAATATGCTATTGGAAATACTACGAGGGAAGTATGGATAGAGTGGTGAAGAGAGCCCAGAAGTCCCTCTAAACAGCCCCTCTTCCCTGACACAGCATACAAAGTGGGGAGTTCAAAAGCCGCATACCCAGCAAAGCTTGGTAAGTGAGAATATACTTGTACATAATCTTTACTTGCACAACACCTTCTTTGGGAACCTGTTCAGTGAGATATGGCAGTAATTAATCACACTCCCCACAGAAACAGACTCAACACAAGAAATTAGGAAGGGGCACCAAAACCTGGGCGCTGGGACTGTGATCTGTGGGTTAACCCTCAGAGGGGCTGGGGAAGGGTAAAATCTGCTTGCTGAGTATAATAAAAATGATAGCTTTAATATTTCTTGAGTGTTTTCTACCAGCAGAAAATCATGTTAGCTGTTATTATTAATATGGCCTAAGTATTATTCTAAGCACGTTTCAAAACTCATTCATTTTATCCTTACAAGCAACCCCATGAGGTAGGCGCCATCCTCACCCCCATTTTTACAGGTGAGGAAGCTGAGGGGCAGAGTGGTTAATTTACTTGCCCAAGGACCTGCAGCTAGTAATTCAACAGCTTGGATTCCTCTCCTGTTGGTCTTGCTTTACACCTCCTGTTCCAGCTACTACACTAGACCGCCAGTACTTTGAGAGTGGCTGTTGTTTTGCACCTATTTTCTCATGGTAGGATTTTTCTTGTTTCACACAGGTAGGAAGAATGAAGGAGGTCTGAAAGGTGGGGAATAACACAAAAGCTTTGCCAGGTACGCTGCTTTTGAACTCCCCGCTTTGTACGCTGTGGCAAGTAGACATATAACCCACCCAGGCATCTCTGGAGGCTACCCTAATCATTCTAGTCATTAGGAACTGGGTCTCGGGTGTTTTAGTAACAATTGTGTCTGCATGTCTGTGGGTGGGTGGACAGATAGAGAGAGAGAGATTGCTATATCTATATAGACAATGTAGCAGAATAAAGGAAGATTATGTTTTAGAGTGAGAAACCTCTGAAGACTGCCTTTGACATTATCTATGTAACCTTGAGTAGGCACTTGGCCACTCCGAGCAAACTCATCTGTAAAATGGGATTATTTCACAGAACTGTTGTAAACCATAAGTGAAGTAACATAGAAACTATCTATTCTAGTACCTGTTACAACTCAGTCACCCAATGTTTACCCCCCACCCTTAGAGTAGGAAAAGATTCAGGAAATAAAAGTTTGGGGCAGGAAATTCTAAATAACCTTAAGCAAGAGTCACCTCACTGACCTCCATCTCCTCAGTTATTCAAGGAGGATAATGGTACCTGCTCTGCCCATCTTGTTTAGTTCACGTGAGAGAGGATGTTCACAAAAGAACCTCGGAAAATCTAAAACTGCTGCATATTTGTTGGATGTTATGCTTAGCGTTAACATTATAAAATACTTTCAAATTTCTCAGGACCCTAGGGGGGTAAGCTCTTCTTGTTATTCTTGGATTTTCAGTGAAATCATTATGAGGGTAAGATTACCAAAGGAACGAGGCTAATTTAGTACGAATGTAATGCTAGTCATTTTTCTGGCCGACATTTTTAGCAACAAGAGAAAGTAGGGCTCTCACCTGTCTGGCAAACAAAGGAGTCTATTCTGTACTTAGTCCGTATCAGATTATTCAGAGAACGCCTTTGACTGTAAACGGGAGGTCTGGGACAAATCCCCCTGTAGGTCTGCAGGAGAGCAAACTTCAAGAAGCTAAATCCTTTAAACATCGTCAAACTTGGCTCCTTCTGATTACAGTGAGGATATGCAAAACTAGCACAATATCTTCTTGCCAAGTGAAATAATCAAGCAGAACACTACGTGGTCATGTTGGAAGCGACAGAAAACAAATTCAGGCCTATTGTAAGTCTTACTGATGACATGCTTCCTTTCCCACACAGCTCTCTGCATTTGGCCAGAAGGGGAGTCGGTGTCTGGCTCAAAAAACTTCATATAAAAATATTCCATAGGGGCTTCCCTGGTGGTGCTGTGGTTAAGAATCCACCTGCCAATGCAGGGGACACGGGTTCGAGCCCTGGTCCGGGAAGATCCCACATGCTGCGGAGCATCTAAGCCCGTGTGTCACAACTACTGAGCCTGAGCTCTAGAGCCCGTAAGCCACAACTACTGAGCCCACGTGCCACAACTACTGAAGCCCGCGTGCCTAGAGCCCATGCTCTACAACGAGAGGCCACTGCAATGAGCAGCCGGCACACTGCAATGAAGAGTAGCCCCTGCTCGCTGCAACTAAAGAAAGCCTCCGCGCCGCAACAAAGACCCAACGCGTCCAAATATAAATAAATAAATAAATTTTAAAAAATATTAGAAAACCCCAAAAAGCAAAACATTCCATAGAACAACTAAACTTACTCATGGAAAATTAGAAAACTAACATTTGACCAACTCCTTTTTAATGTCCTAGCATTTTTATTCTTCATTTTAACCCAGGACTTTGGGTTATCTTGATTTCACAAACAGAGAAACTGAGGCTGAGAAAGGATAAATTTGCCAAAGCTAGGAAGTGGTGGAGTCAGGGTTGGAATGCGAGTCTGTCTTTGATGCCTCTGTGCTTTTTAAATTATATGGCTAATAAAAATTAAAATACTATATGGAATTGTTTTTCATCATTCTCCTTAAGATTCCAAGATTCCTTCTCAGTAAAGACTAATATCTAGTGGGAACTATACTATTAAAAAGAATCACATAAGAACAATGGACATTATTCTTACTATTCACTTTAAAGGGTAATGGACACTTCCGAGGCACTGCAAAGAAAATTGGCTGAAAATTAAAATGGGGAAGATTTTTAATACTTTGGAATAACTGTTTAAAAGTTAAATGCACATATTTAGTTACATCAAGTTAAATACTTGGGATTTTTGAAACCAACAATTTAGTCCAGACCACATGATTAATTTCCTTTTAAAAATCAACAATTTGGTATCACAGTTCACATCTGACATTCCTATTTTATTTTTACAATGATATTCAATACTTTGATTAGTAATTAAATATAATGGAGAAAAAATACTTCTTTCTTCTCCTGGGGCTTAAAGCAAGGTAAACACAATTTCTCATTCAAGAGGTACTTTTATGAAGTGAAACATATCTGGGATATTACTTTGAGTTAAAACACGAAAGTGCTCAGATCTTAAATCTGGCTAAGGTGGGAAGGAGTCTTATAGAACCTTAGAATTCAAATGAAATTAAACAAGTTGAATTATGATCTTGTCTGAAAAAAATTTTAAAACCATAGAAAACAAACAGGAATAGCCACCATTTATTATCTGAAAACTACAAAATAAGCAGGTCTGTGGCAGATAGGGGCCTGCCTTGGTGACATTTAGGCGTATACCTGGAAGCCGAAGGAGAAAAGGTGGTAATTAGGCCTTCAGTTGGCATGCTAAGCCCAGCCATTCGCTCTCTTGACTTGATAATGGAAATACTAAGTAGATGATCTATTGACTTATGTATTCTCAAACGAATTCTTTAAAAGACTCGGAATAGCCCATATACAGTGATTAACATTTTTCTCTTTGGAAAATGTTTTAACCACAGTAAGTTAGGGGCAGTAACTCATTTGTGAGCGCTTGAGAAAAAACCTTAGCAACTAGAATCCACACGAGTTCACTAAAAGTTTCTTTAAATCTCAGGGCCTCAGTTTTCTCCTCTATAAAAGGAAAGAGCTGGGCTAA